AAACCCCCAGAATTTCACAAACAAAATTGAATATTTTTCTAATTTTCTTTCTTTTGTTAATGGTTCTTAGATACAAACAACGCCCACTCGAACGACTTCTGCCGTATACCTTCAAAATGAAATTAGTATATTATTTTTCTTTAAGTATGTATATTAAATTTGGCTGTTGAATATATATGTATTAAAATACATGCCATTAAAAAAATATTTTCTTATGTTCAGTCAACAGGTGGTCGAATTAGTTTTAATTGCTTCAATAAAATCTCATGAAAATTGAGCATACTATAAATCATATAATTAATATTTGTGGTTTTTGGGGGGAAAATAAGTGGGTCACATTTTCTATATGTATACAATGTCAAGGTCGTATTTAGGTTAGATGCCTACAAATTTGGAACACCTTGGCAAAGGCAATGAAAAGACGAAAATACCGTTTGGTATTTTTTAAATACTCAGAACAATAATTGCAATTTTTTTACAATTATTATTTCGAATATCTTTTGATTTTCATGGACTAGCAAGTCTAAAGCCGCTAGAAATATTTTTAAGTATCAGTTGAAGTAAAATTTAGTGTATTTTCAGAATATTATTTGAATGCTTGTGAGACAATTATCGTACATTTTTATTGAATATTATGTGCGAGACCATGTAGGGCCGCAATAGTAGATTTACAAGTAATATCTTTGTACAAATATTTATGAATAATAAGATAAAAAGTACCAGTCGATTTTGCCGACAGATGTATACCCTCAGCCAATGTTCGTTTATTTAAATATATGTTTTGACTTCTGTGATGATTGTTCATATTGTTGGCCCTCTATGAAGTAGGTTTCGAAGGGATGGGACAAAATTGTCCATCTCGTAACGGACCTATATAAATATGTCATAATTATTGCAACGTGCCAGGTTTGAAATATGTTATAATTTTTAGAAAATGTTAAAATGTGCCTGAGGTGCCAAATGAAATCGACCGAAGTATTTCCTTTGTTATGGGCAAAATTTCAAGAAGATCGAAAATACATATATATTTTTTATGCGGAATCATAAACTTAGTTGTATAGAATCGCTGACTTGTTTCGCAAGTTATGACAAAGATATACCAGAAGGAGATGACCGATATATCCCATTTTCTCAACAGATCTTGTGTTAGCAAAAATGTTTGTATGTGTGAAATATAAAGAGAACCGGATGCTTATTATACCCTACACCACAAGGTGGTCAGGGTATTATGTCTTTGTGCATTTGTTTGTAACAGGCAAAAGGAAACGAGATAGACCCATAGTTCCTTTTGATGATCTCCATAGAATCACATTCTGAGTCGATTTATGCATGTCCGTCCGTCCGAGTATCCATGTATTTTTGTAAACAATGTACAGTTCGCATTTATTGCCCTATCCAGATGAAATTTTGCACAAATCATTTGTTTGGCCCAAGGACGAGCCCTATTGAAATTGGAGGTGATCGGTCAAAATTTAGATATAGCTCCCATATATATCTTCGTACGATTTGCCTTTTTTGTTGTACACCAAACATGTAATATCAGTCCGAATAGTATGGAATTTTGCACGTACGATCAGATTGGACTAAATTTGATGGAAATCGGTTCAGATATAGCTATAGATCCCATATATATTGTTCATCCGATTTGTTATTTTTGTCCTTCGCAGCCGTTATATGCACCCTGTAACAACAATATTTTAGGAAATATATCAAATACAGCTCAGAAATACCTTTGCTAAATTTTACCGAGATCGGTTCAGATTTGGATATAGCTCCCATATATAACTTAGTCCGATTTATCTTTGATTGTGCACCAAACGTCTAATAATTGCCCAAATGGGATGAAATTTGGCACTTACGACCAAATTAAGTCTAGAAGCTAGTATGTCAAATTTGATCGAAATCGGTTCAGATATAGCTATAGCTTCCATATATATACTTCATCCGATTTGTTATATTTGTTACCCACAACCGTAATATGCACTCCGTAACAACGATATTCAGGGAAATATATCAAATACACTTCAGAAATATCTTTGCCAAATTTTATCGAGATCGGTTCCGATTTGGATATAGCTCCCATATATATTTTTATCCGATTTCAAATTAATTGTGCTCCAAATGGGCAATACATAACATTAGTCCTTTGAACTTTAAATTATAATTATAATCATGATTGAATTCTCCCATAAAAACTTTTAATTGTTATGCGGAGCTCTACTAAATTAGCAAAGTGGTGTAGGGTGTCATAAATTCGGCCCCGCCCGACTTTAACACTTTCGTTACTGGTTTTTTATAAACATTTTGGATATTCAAAACTTTGACACCACGGAGGTACCAGAATTGTCCGATCTCTACAGTCTTTATAACAGATCCTGTGTTGATAGAAATATTCAGATGTGCCAAGTGTGAATGGAATCGGATGTTAATTTCGGGTTTTATGAGCTTAATGGATTTTCAAATTTTCGACTTTTTTTTTTTTTTTTTTTGAGGGGGGGGGGTGTACCCGAAGGAGTGGACCGATATATTCCGTCTTAATACCAATTGGACTCTTACATCACATTTTATAAGAATTGTAATTATTTAAAATGTTGACCCTTTTGGGGGGGAGGTACTTTATGGAGTGGACCGATATTGGCCATTTTCGCACCTGACCTGGCAAAGATGTAAATATCATTATTTGCAAAGTTGGAGCAAAATCAAATAATCCTTTCTCTTTTTGTGCACAAAATATATTTTTTGATATTTCCGACATTTTGTGGGGGAGGTACCAGAAGGAGTGGATCGATATGTTCCATATTAATACCAGACCTTGGGGTAATATAAATATTGGAATGTGTGAAATTTGAAGACAATCGGACTCTGACATCACATTTTTAAAGACTTGTAATTATTGAAAATTTCGTCCACATGTGGGGGAGGTACCAGAAGGAGTGGATCGATATGTTCCATCTTATCACCAGACTTTGGGTTAATATAAATATTGAGATGTGTGAAATTTGAAAACAATCAGACTCTTACATTATATTTTGTAAGTGTTGTAATTAGTCAAAATTTTGAGTAATTTTTAATATACCCTCCTTAAAAGGTATAAAAACCTTGTTTTTTCACAAAAGTAGAATACATTCCCAGAACTTTTAGTAGCCTAATTAGGAATTCCTTTTTATAAAAACAACAATGAAGGGATTAAGCCTGACCATTTTGCAACAACAAAATACTATGGTATCCCGAACAATCAAGCCAACACTGAATTGTAACATATTTATACTTTCTCAGACTCTTGGGGAAATAATCGTGGATTTCAAACAAACATTTTCTAGATTTTTTAAAAATTTTTTTTTTTTTTTTTAGAAGAGCTGCAATAGCTGATTGATTACTTCCTCTTGTGTTAATTTCTTTCAAATATAATAATTTGTTATTAACAAATTCATAAATATTACCAATAACCAAACTGACCTCTCCCCTCTCGATATAATGCCAGACAAATCAAACCACGCTAATCAAAGCAAACAGCTGTTAACGCTGAGTTCCGCTTCTATAGGAAACCCAAAATCATTAAGCGATAAATCTGTTCGGCAATGAATCATTCAACTGTAAAAAAGTCATGGTTTTTGAAACGGCCAATAAATAAAAATCTTAAGTATTATTCATGTGGCGGCGGCAGCGGCGTGTGGCATTGTCTTAAGAAAACGGCCGACAAAGACACTCGAACAAACACTGGCGTTTTGGTTTCAAATCGGTCAATGGCTTAACGGAGAACCTCTCTATCGGTCACTTATGATATTGTCCAATGATAATGGGGCACTACATTGATATTTAATATCATTGCTTTAAGAGAGCATGGAGAGGGAAGGTGATTGAGGTGGGGCACATTCAATCACCGAACCATAAAGCGTTTGCTGACATCTGATATCTACCGATTTTTTTTTTCTTTTTTTGGAAATCAAGTGTCCAAAATTTATTTTATAATTCAAACCGAAAAGGAATCGGAATGTTTGATCTTGATCTCATGCTGCCTCTCTCCCCCTGCCTTTTGATTAAAAGTTCTATGAAAATGTAATGCCAGCCAACCGGATAGCCTTGTCGAAAGTCATGGCAATCCACACACACACACACACACTGACACAAACAGGGGGGGTTGTCATTATTTTAAGAATTGATTTGCAACCGGTTACGGTGCCAATCACCAACGGCAATCGGCGAATTGCAATGCTGACGTATGACTGGACTAGTCTAGTTAGCGGGTCAATTCATCAATACATATATGGAACGTCTATAATTAGACTCCGATTTGATTAGAGTGAGAGAGCGAGCGAGCGAACAAATGCCAATTAATGGAGTATTTAGCCAATGATTTTATTTCACATTGTCGTTCAATTCAATTCGAGTTTATTTTTAATTAGTCCATTTAATTGAGTTATTTTGTCAATAATTGTTAATGAACCACTTATCTGGGTTATGTGTGAGGCTAAGCAAGAGAATACTACTAGCCTACTAGCAGTTGAAAAGGATAATTAAGTTTCACACATGGTACAATGAATTCAAGGTAGGGCAGAACTACCATATGATTTAAATTTTTTTATTTTTCTGGCTTATTTGCTTATGTGTGTGTCTTCTTTTCAATAATAAAAAGTTGTTCAGAAAATATTCAAATTCGGGTGTTTTCAAAATGCTTATTGCAACGAATGCATCGACAAAATCTACAGTTTTTGTCGCGAATTAAACCATAAGAGACATATAGAACATGATATTGAAAATAATTTTTAACCATTCATTCAGTTTTCGCGGTTTTAAATTATTTATTCAAAATCAATGCAACAAGTTGTTTGCTTTTTTTTATTATTTTGATAGTAATTCTGACATTACAAGCCAAACAGGTAGACCTCTATACTTGCAATTTTTTCAAAGTTGACCTACCTTCTCTTCATTGTACCATGGTTTCACAAAAGTTTTTTTTTATTTGTTTTCAAAATAGTAATTTATTTTTTCTCCTTTTTCAGATTCAATATTAATCTCCAATAAAAAAGTAAGTATAAAATTGGAAATATTTCATCCAAATAAATTTCGAATTCTCTTCGAAAGCAGGGAAAAAATTAGGTAATGCAAATAATTTACAAAATTTTCAAGGATTCTACAGCTAGGATTTTAAGATAAATCTTTAAGGATCAATCTGAATTTTTTAAGTTTATTTTTTAAGGACCAACAGAGCCACAAAAGTGGATTTTAAATAATATTTGTAAAGGACATATGGGGACTTTTTAAGCCAAACGAACCTCAATCTAGAATTTTTGGAATGAAATATTTTTTAGGACCAGCCAAGTCTAGATCAGATTTTAGAAATCGGATAGGAAATTATTTAAAGATAAGTCTATGTCAAAGGTAAAATCGTAGATTTGGGGGAAACCCTCTCCATTTGAGCACCAATGGAGCTATTTTCGTTAGTGTTTCTAAGAAATTCTCCGAGGAGCTCAACGATTTATACTAGTTTTTTTTAAGAATATTTTGGCTTTTTTGATTATTGTCGTTAATCATGATTTTTTTATATTTTATCAGAACAACAAGACTATAATCATTAAAATCTATGGTCCTTTACATCAAGGCTATAATCTTAAAAATATATATTTCTAGGACCAGTAGCATGTTTATATTTAAAGACCTTCTGTAAAATGTTTTGCAAGCACAAGCAATTTTTCTATAGTCTGCGATTCCTAAACATATATTTTTAAACGACAATAGAGCAATGATCTGGGATTTAAAAATCTTTTTTTGATACCAGTAGCAAGGACGGAGTTTTTAAAGCTTTTTATTTAAAGCAGGTTTATAATCTTAATTATTTAAGGACCATAAAGGCCATAAAAATGTATATTTTAAAAAATATTTTTCAAGGACCTGTAATGTATTATCTGGAGCCAATGAAACAGTTACATGCTGTCCAAATGTTGCTCTGTGGTATTTTGGCCCATTCCCGGCGAAGCACTTGCTTGAGGATTTTTTAAAAAATATTTTTGAAGTACCAACAGAGCCTCAAACTAAAGAATATTTTGCAAACCTCTAAAGTATATTTTTCAAGGACCAATAGAGTCTCAAACGTGGATTTTCTAAAGAATATTTTTCAAGGACCAATAGAGTCTCAACCGAGGATTTTCTATACAATATTTTTCAAGGACAAACAGATCCTCCAACGTGGATTTTCTATACAATATTTTTCAAGGACAAACAGATCCTCCAAAGTGGATTCTCTAAAGAATATTTTTCAAGGAGCAACAGAGCTTCAAACAAGGGTTCTCTAAAGAATATTTTTCCAGGACCAACAGAGCCTCAAACGTGGATTTTCAAAAGAATATTTTTCAAGGACCAACAGGGCCTCAAATGTGGATTTTCTAAAGAATATTTTTCAAGGACCAACAGAGCCTCAAACGTTTATTTTCTAAAGAATATTTTTCAAGGACTAACAGAGCCTCAAAAGTGGATTTTCTAAAGAATATTTTTCAAGGACCAGTCTCTAACGTGGATTTTCTAAAGAATATTTTTCAAGGACCAATAGAGTCTCAAACGTGGATTTTCTAAAGAATATTTTTCAAGGACCAACAGTGCCTCAAACGTGGATTTTCTAAAGAATATATTTCAGGGACCAACAGAACCTCCAACGGGGATTTTCTAAAGAATATTTTTCAAGGACCAATAGAGTCTCAAACGCGGATTTTCAAAAGAATATTTTTCAAGGACCAATAGAATCTCAAAAGTGCATTTTCTAAAGAATATTTTTCAAGGACCAACAGAGCCTCAAACGTGGATTATCTAAAGAATATTTTTCAAGGACCAACAGATCCCCAAACGAGGATTTTCTAAAAAATATTTTTGAAGGACCAACAGAGCCTCAAACGTGGATTTTCTAAAGAATATTTTTCAAGGACCAATAGAGTCTCAAACGTGGATTTTCTAAAGAATATTGTTCAAGGACCAACAGAACCTCAAACGTGGATTTTATAATGAATATTTTTCAAGGACCAACAGAGTCTCAAACGTGGATTTTATAATGAATATTTTTCAAGGACCGACAGAGTCTCAAACATGGATTTTCTAAAGAATATTTTTTAAGGACCGACAGAGTCTCAAACATGGATTTTCTAAAGAATATTTTTCAAGGACCATCAGTGTCTCAAAGGTGGATTTTCTAATGAATATTTTTAAAGAACCAACAGAGAACAGAGGATGGTTTAAGTCTCTATTGTTTCTTTAAAAATATCCTTTAAAAATTCACGTTTCAGACTCCCTTGGTCCCTCAAAGAATATTTCAAAAATCCAATTTCAGGTCTATGTTTCTCCTTAAAAACACGTTTAAAAATCTAAGTTTTTGGCTCTGTTGATCCTTGAAAAATATTCTTAAAAAAGTCCAGCTTTGAGGCTCTTTTGGACCCTGAAAATTTACTTTAAAAGTCCCTTTCTTAGTTGCTCCCTAAAAATGTCCTTTAAATATCGCATTTCTGATCCTGTTTATCCTTGGAATCCTAAAAAATCCACGTTTGTTGCCCTGTTGGTTCTTATTTTTTTTTTAATCCAAGTCTGTGTCTCTCTTAGTTCTCCATTTTTTATCTGAACTGTTCACGTTCGACGTGAATGGTCCCCATCCACAATGGACTTACGTTCGTGAAAGTTCCACGCATATTTATCATATCCCAATATATCTACCTACCTTAACTGAGTACGGATTTAAGTTGAAGGCGTGCCAAAATATTTTTATCTCCCATTTGCCGTTATTGTTTAATTTTATAACTGAAATTAATCCTAAATTAAACCCCAGCGCTTTATTATCAGATACCGTTTATAACATGTTTGAATATTTTTGGCTAAATACGTGACGTGACATCCGGACTAAAAATCCCTCAAAGAAAAACAGAAGACGAGAGTAAATGCACGTAATTCAATGCTCCTCCAGGGGGAAAAAATGAAAGGAGATAACAAATTGATAACAAAAGAAAAAAAGAACATTTGTTTCCAACTCAATTTCAATTTCTTGCTGCTCAGCGCAAATGATTAACTGCTGACTTAAAAAGTTGACCTAATTTTTCAAAAAATAAAATTTCGAAAATTGGTTGACCGATTTTTTGCTTTTGTCAATTTTAATATGCCGTTGGCCAATGGATGGGGGTATTCCTCAATCAATTCCCCAAATTTGTGTATGTCAGCTGTTTTGGTCGTCAATCCATTCTCCTTTTATTCTTTGCCCAATTTTGAAGTCCAAAGTTAGCCGAACCCACCCAAAAATAAAGCCCCAGAATATGTGGAGGTGACTTTTCAGTATTTCCATCCATCCAGCTGCATCAGCAGTTACGCGACTCCAGAGCAGCATTGACGACAATAACACTGAAAACAGCAACAAAACCAAAAACAAAACGGGAAAATGTAAACCACAAACTTGTGTAAAAGTAAAGCAATAACAACAACAACAACAATTACAATAACTTACTTTGCCATGCGGCCGGCACCCGGAGACACAGTTTTAAACTGAAACCAGAACCAAGACCATCGAAACCCACAAAAGCGTCGTCAAATGACAAATGAATGGCAAACGGCAAACTATGGCAGAACAGCAGTAAAGCATCGAGCCAACAGACGGACGAATATCAGGCAATAGTCTATTTGTCGTTATCGTCGTAGTGGTCCCGCTGTTGCTTGGCTGGTCTGGGCTGCCGGTATGGCGTTGCATTGCGCCTCAGTTTACGTTGGAAAATGGCAAAGAAAATGTCATGACGTTTATTTTTTTTTCTCTCTTTCTTTCAGTCTTATTAAATACTCGTACATTGATATTAAATTAAATTTTATCATAATAAAAAAATTGAATAATAGGTGCGTCTGAGCGTTTTTTTTTTTTTTGTCTTAGCAGGATATACATGTTTTTTAAAGCATATTTTTTCAATAATCAAAGGATTGTGATTTTTTAAAAATAAGTTTTCAAGGCCGAACGGAATCTGAAACGTTTTTTAAAGAAAAAATTCAAGGGTCAAGAGTTCCTCAAACGAGGATTTTTTAAAGAAAAAATTCAAGGATCAAGAGGGCCTCAAACGTGGATTTTTTAAAGAAAAAATTCAAGGATCAAGAGGGCCTCAAACGTGGATTTTTTAAAGAAAAAATTCAAGGATCAAGAGGGCCTCAAACGTGGATTTTTTAAAGAAAAAATTCAAGGATCAAGAGGGCCTCAAACGTGGATTTTTTAAAGAAAAATTCAAGGATCAAGAGGGCCTCAAACGTGGATTTTTTAAAGAAAAATTCAAGGATCAAGAGTTCCTCTTCCTAAAGACTACCAACCAACAGAATCTCACAAGAGGACCTTCTAAAGAATATTTTTCAAGGATCAAGAGTTCCTCAAACGTGGATTCCCTAAAGAATACCAACCAACAGAATCTCACAAGAGGTCTTTCTAAAGAATATTTTTCAAGGAACAACAGAGTCTCAACTGTGGATTTTTCAAGAACCAACAGGGCCTCAACGTTGGATTTTCCAAAGATAATCTATTAAGGACCAACAGAGCGTTTAAGGAGACCTTTAAAGAGTATTTCAAGGACCAACAAAGCCTCAAACGTGAATTTTCTAAAGAATATTTTCAAGGACTAACAGATCCTCAAACGTGGATTTTCTAAAGAATATTTTTCAAGGACTAACAGATCCTCAAACGTGGATTTTCTAAAAAATATTTTTCAAGGACTAACAGATCCTCAAACGTGGATTTTCTAAAGAATATTTTTCAAGGACTAACAGATCCTCAAACGTGGATTTTCTAAAGAATATTTTTCAAACGTGGATTTTCTAAAAAAATTCAAGGATCAAGAGGGCCTCAAACGTGGATTTTTTAAAGAAAAAATTCAAGGATCAAGAGGGCCTCAAACGTGGATTTTTTAAAGAAAAAATTCAGGATCAAGAGTTCCTCTTCCTAAAGACTACCAACCAACAGAATCTCACAAGAGGACCTTCTAAAGAATATTTTTCAAGGATCAAGAGTTCCTCAAACGTGGATTCCCTAAAGAATAC